AGAAGAGTTTGATGCTATTATCTCCTCCAGAGTTTTGTTAGTGTGTGACTGTGTTTATATCCTGCATTTTCACAAGCTTTTGAACTACTAAAACTTGGTTCAATACTGTGGTTCTCACCTGTGGGCCATGACCCCTGTGTGTGTGTGTCACATGATCCTTTCATGGGGTCACATATCAAGTATCCTACATATCAGATACTAATGACTCATAAGAAGTATCAACACAATCAATTTTATGTTTGGGGGTCACTGCAACATCAGGAAGACTGAGAACTGCTGGTTTAATATGCCCCCTAACATTGCTCCATCACACTGTGTATCCTGATCCAGCTCAGCCAAGCCTTGGACTGGGGTCCTGTTTTAGTGAGTTATGGATCTAGAAGTTTTCACACTCCATGTTCTGGGAAGAAAGCATAACTTGTTCCTGTTTGGTGGAGACCAAAGACAGCCAGCAGCTTCTGTACTGTGGACATAAAACCGGGCATGAAAGACATCACCTCTGTGATTTCCCTTCCAGTCCTTCAAAGTGAATTCAAGGTGTTATTCCATAAGACTTAGTTTTTGAAAACCAGCATCCGTTTCCTCTTCTCACTGACTTTAAAAAGGCTTAGATTTGTTACATGTTAGAGTTTTGTATCTGACTTCTGAATCTAGAATATTTATTCTGTTTCTTTTTACTTTCTATCTCATTTTAAAGTCTCGCTTGGGATCAAACAAAACCATGGCTCATTGTGATTTTACGATGGTTTGAATTTAAGAGAATATTTTTATACATGTGTAGCAATGGCCATTCTCTATATCATTGTGTAAGTATGCTACTACTTGTATGTTTAGATGCAAATATATTAAAACATGCTTGCAGTATTTTATAGTATTTAGAGAATGAATGTAAAATGTATACATTCTTCTCTCTTTCCTTACTCATCCCATTCATCCTTAAGTGTGATCATCTCTTTATCTGTCTGCCCAAGATCTGTGTCTGTCAGGTTCGGAAAATTATTTAGCCTCTCCTGGCTTTCATGTATCATCTTTAACACCATAATATCAAAAATAATAAATTTTCAGACTCTTTGCACTTTAAGACATGTTTTACCCAGAATTATAGAAAGCTTTCAAATTGTATTAAGAATGGGTTAAAAGGTCAACTCTTGAAACTTATTTGCCACATAGAAACTTCGTTAAATAGGCTCTTTGGAACCACACAATAGAATTATTACAATCAATACACTTTATTCTCCTCTTCACTTTAATGAAATCACATGCTTAAATTGCTCTGTAATACCACCATGGTGAATTTGATTCATACAACAGTTACATTAAATCCTCTCTATAAATACCCAATGCTGTTCAATAGAGCTCTCACCCATTGCCACTTAAAGAAGATGTAACATTTGTTCATTGGGTACTGAGTATATTTCAGTTTTTTAAAATTTTCTTAAGTATACATTTATTTTATTTTTTCAGGATTGATTTATTTTTATTTTCTGTGTGTGGGTGTTTTGCCTGCATGTAAGTCTGTGCACTGAATGAGTGCGGTACCTGCGGCATCAGAAGTGGTCATCAGACCCCGTGGAACTGTAGTTACAGGTGGTTGTTATGTGCTGGGAATTGAACCTGAGCTTTTTTGAAGAGCAGATGGTGCTCTTAACCACTGAGCTATCTCTCCAGCCCTTGTGTGTAACTTTATAAACAGTAACTTGCTTGCTACTGTTGTAAATAGTGACTGAAACTTACCCTGGAGAAGAACTTGAGTGGCCTACTGTATCTAGTTCATTACTGTAGGTTCATTGTTTGATGTGTGCTTCCATGTTTTCTTTCATAATATTTTTATTGATTATTTGGGGATTTCCCATCATGAACCCTGAGCACCCTCACTTCCCAGGCCTCCCAGTTCCACACCTTCACCCTTGGGACCTCCCCCACAAAACAAAACAAAACAAAACAACAACAACAAAACAGAAGAAGGAGAAAGGAGGAGCAGGAGGAGGAAGAAGAAAGAAGAGGAATAAAACCAGTTCTATATGTGTCCCCATATAATCACCGGAGCATGGTCAAATTCCTGGTAGTCAGCCCCTTAAGGAAAACTGAGTCCTTCCCCAACCCCTGCCAGAAGCCATCAGCTCTGGAGAGCTACACTTCAGCATTACTATAACACTTTTTAAGAGTTCTCCTTGATGTCACTCTGTCTTGGCTGTTACTTTTTTTATGGGGTGGAGTGGAGTGGGAGTAGGGCTTGTCATAGACACCTTCTATGTGTCTCTGAACTGTGAGCCTGCAGTCATCAATACCATGGCAAAAGTAGCTTCCTTGCCCTTTACGGTCAACGGGAGCACAGATGGTGAACTTACACATGGTTTCTGGTGACGGTGTCCACCATGGACATCCACAGGGTCCCCCATGTGCCACTGACCACAGACATCAACCTGGCCCTGCACTGCCACTGCACAAGCCACCAACATCATCGCAGTCCTCGGTAGCAGCACAGGCCAAGGACATCAACATGGCTTTAGGTAGCAATTCAGGGTATTCCCATTAACGTGGCACTTGTAGTAGCACAGCCCATGTCCTTCAACATGGCTGCAGGCTGCAACAGACAACGGACATCTGATTGGTCTTTAGTGTGTCCATGTTCTTTTGTCATTTGGCACATATGGCTTTTGAGATGCATTTAAAAATATACCTTAAAAGTATTTCATGAATGTTTGCAATAGAAGATTCATTGTCTTTGAAGGCTCATGGGAATCCTGTGTAAGAGATCATTTTATCTTTGTGGTTCATTTTAATGAAGCCTTTTCCCTTTTGTCAAAATACCCAATGACTTAAAATTCAGGTGCACTGAAAACACTTCTGGAATTTGGTGTACCAACCAATCTTTGTTTCTTCTGCATCTTGGATTCCACCTCAGCCTCGGTTTCTTTATTTACCATTGTTATATTTCTAATGATCTAGGTGTCACTGGGAATCATTCTGTGTTCACAGAGAACTAAAGAATGGTCCATGTTGGTGCAGACATATAAAGACCTGGGCTCTACAATCCCCTTTAACAGATGCTAGCAGAATTGCTGCCGTACACATTGTGGCATCTATTTCAGAGCCTGTGTTGAAATCTTACTGGGGTTTATCTCCCTCTGTAGGGATTTGGTCTCTAGCATGGCCTAGCTCAGTTCCTGTGTTGTCTTTCCCACCCTCCCATTTGATTGCTGCTCTCCTAATATGTGTGTGCACTGTCAAGTCCCATTAATTCCCTTCTCTGTATCCAAACTTGTAAGTTATTCAAGGACAGAGACTTTCTGTTTTGTTTCCTTCCTCAGTTTACCCTTGAGTCTGGCATAGGAAAGGTGTTCACAAAACATTGTTGATGGACTAATTGAATGGTATTACATCCTATCAATGTATTCAGTTACTTCTTGGATCTGTACACCCTACCTTTAATGCACAGTCTACCTCTTATCTTGGACTTTTTTTCCTGACAGGTGGACACATGTCCTTGGCTATTATGTAACTTTAACCAACACCTCTAAACCATGTTCTTTGACTTGATTGACAGCATCATCTTTCTTTTGTCCACCTAGCTTTTGAAAATGTTTAGGAACTTAGAGTCCCTTCACAACTTCATAGGTTACTTAGTGGTTCGGGTCTGGAAACTGAGTCAGACTACAGTCCCCATGTGTAAAATTCTCACCCCTTGGAATTATTTGGAAGATCATGCCTAAATAGTTGAGAAAGTGCTTACTAAGGTGCTTACATGGCTCTGGTGCATGGTAAATGCTGAACACATTTTCTGGCTGCAGGTGCAGGTTCCAGGAGCTGTGAGAGCATTTTGTTGGTGCTCCTGAGCTGCTGTGTCATTTCTGCTCAGGATGTCTGCCCTAGCTCCCATTTTCCTTATGCCCCGACTTCCCAGTAGGCTTTCTGCTCCGTTACTGCAGGAATCTACCAGTGGACATGTTCTGCTTGCATTTTCCTCAGGAGAAACACTGACGACTGTGTAGTCAGCTCAGTAAAGTCTGCATGCCTCAGCTTAATGGTTACAGCTTTGAATAATATGACCCTCCCCAACTTTGTGTTTTTTTGTTTCATTTGCACCAGTTTCCAATCATGGCCTCAGGCTTTGCATCTCCTTACTCATTCCCCTACTGGTCATTCCTCTGGATTCTTGTTTTGCATGATGTTTTTACACAATGCTCTTCACAGTGTTGCTGTCCTTGCCTACTGTGCAAATTTCATTCTGCCTTTTGTTTCCTGACTGCCTGTTGGGACAGTGATTGCAGGCCCTTGTCTTCATTCCAGGTCCTCTACATTGGTAGTTTCAAAAGATGCAAAGACTGAACTCTCCTGGAAACGTGGATATTTACCAAGATTCATTTGTTAGGGAGTGACAACTTGTGACATCTTTGTGTAACTTTATTTATTGGACTCTTATCCTGTTTTTTTATCACTTGGATTACATACTTCTTGACAGCTTGATATATTAAAGTTTTTTTTTTTTTACTCTCTCAGCCTAGACACATAGGGGAGGGTCTAGGTCCAGCTCCAAATGATATGACAGACTTTGAAGATCCCCTCATGGAAGGCCTCACTCTCCCTGGGGAGCAGAAAGGGGATGGGATGGGATGGGAGGATTGGTGTGGGGCGGGGGGGGGGGGAAGCGGAAGGAAAGGGAACTGGGATTGACAAGTAAAACAAGCTTGCTTCTAATTTAAATAAAAAATAAAAAAAGTTTTTTCTACCTTCTTATATATCTTACTTGATATTTTATACAGAAGAGGAACTCAGCAAATAATGATTAACTTGTCTTGAATTTTGAAGCTTCCATGAGCAAAAGGTATTAAGAATACATTCTGAACCAGGGAGACATATACATTGTTCCTCATCTACTAGATCCTTTACAAAATCTGTAGCTACACAGATTGCTTATAGTAGCTAAGGATTTTCTTTTTTAGTTTAGGCATCATCAGTTTATTATAAGAGGGAGGCACGGAAATTATTTACATGATGAATAGTTCAGAATGCTTGTGGAATGTGACACCATTTCAACAATGATTTCAGTTCATATATTTTCCAAGAATGTCACCATCTCTAGATAAGAAATAATCCTTGTGGTCTAGAACTACTTTGGGGCCTCCATATTCTGGGAGAAGAACATTGTCTCCGACTTTCACACTGACCGGCTGAGCCTGATCGCACGTCACTACTGTTGTGTGCAATACTTTTACTTGAGACTCTTCTGGAAGCATAATGCCACCTTTGGTCACAGTTTTGGTAGCACTCCTTTAAACCAATGCTCTGTCAAGGTAGAAACTTTTTGAAAGCTTGTCCAGCCGTGACTGTGCCACCGCAGCTCGGATTCTGCACTTGGGCTACCTTTGCAAGGAGAATCCTCGTAGTTAAGGATTTTTATGGTAAAAGTTGTTTGCATATTTCTATCTCTGGTAGGTAGTACTCACTTAATATTACTTGAATTTACTTTTTCTTTAAACTTGTTTTGCAGTAACCTTTTTTTCTTTTAATATGGTATATGAAGTAGTATTTTATGAATTACCTCATTTATATCAATACACATTGAATTATTCGCACTTTTGTTATTCTGAAGAGTTATAGAGGTAAGCGACAATGGTTGCTTGGCTTGATGTCTTCATGACCTTCTAGACCTGGTCAGATGCCTCCTCCTCAGTCTGTATGCTGTCACCTCTGAGATCCCATTTTGCCACACTTTTCCCAGAGTTTCGTAGACTCGCTGAAGGCAAGAGTCCTTCCTGCTTTTTCTTTTGGCCACTTCATATTCCAGGGCCAGGGAAGTTCACAGCACATAATGCAATGGGTGCTCTTTAATGATGTATGGCACTGCATTTGATGCTCATTAAATAAGCAAAGACTTTCTGCAGTCCTATGCGTGCCAGGGACTGAGCTAGGCCTCTGCATTTGTACTGAGAGTAAAGCAGAGCCCCTGCCCTTGGGGAGCTCATCAACTAGAAAAATGTGTGGTGTAATTTACATACTGCTGAAAGGTTCTAGAATTTTCTTCCCCATATAAGCCTCAAAGAAAAAGAAGAAAAGGGAAGGGAACCTAACCATGAAGAGGGATTGTATTACTCTGATGGACAGGAACATGTCACTCAGGTTTACACTGGAGGGGACCTGCATTTTTCCATCCCCTCATTGGTTCATCTGAGAGACCTCTGTGCCCTCAACTATGTGGTAGTGACAGCTATTGTCACACTGGACTTTGCATATGAGAAACTCAGTCTTCTTACTTGGAGGTCTCAGTGTTTGCATTAAAAATGGGGCAAAGGGTTAAGATCTGACTGCTGACTGAGATTTAAGCAGGCCACATAACCTTTTCTCGTCAGCCCCAGGCACTGTTTCTTTCAGAGTGACTTGCCACTGTCAAATTTTTCATGGTGGTGTTTTGTTAAGACCGTTGGATCTGTCTGGTCACTGTTTGGGGCTATTGGATGACGACTAAAAATCTTTTCTTAGTAGGTGCAGTCCTGTTGTCTGACGACTTCATGTTTCTTTCCCCTTTTGCTGTTGATGGTGGTGGTCCCTGGCGGGGTCTCCAGAAACGCTGTTGCTTCTGATATGCTCGGCTCTGCTCTGCAGACACTTCACACACTTCCTGTCAGTTAAAGCTGGAACCACCTTCTTCCTTCAGTTTTTGAGTTCGCACCTACACACAGCCCACAGTCCCTCGTGGTTCTGTGCCTTGCAGCTGCTCCTCGTGAGCTCATTCCTGGTAAGATGCTTCTCTTACAGAGCAAATACCAGGTCCCACCCACCTTTCCTGTCCTCTCAGGGTCTAGAACCATGTGCTGGCCTGTGTCCCTGCTAAGTCAGTGCTGAGCTTTTGGCTGAAGTAACTTTAATTGCAGGGGCTGTGTTTGGTTGTTATATCTGGAAAACTTTGTGCTTCACAAACCTTAGGATACCCTGGAGAAGGGCAGCTGGAGGCGACACCATCCTCCTTCCTAGAGCAGGGACACGTGTGTGTGCACGTGACATGCTGAGTACCATTACACTCATCACGGGAGGAGATCCTTTAATTCCTTCCAGGGTGATAGCATCAAGACACAGTAATTTACCTGTTAATCACATGGCTGGGGCTGGACCTGATGACACCTGATTAGCACAGGAAGGACAGGAGCCACAGGAGCAACCAGGCTATGAACTCCAGTAGGCTGGCCCAGAAATGCATATTGTGCATCACCCTTGCAAGATAAAGGAAAGGTTTTTGTGCCAGATGTTCACTGAATCCCTCCATGCATATTGCTTCTGCCTGGGTCTGCTGGCACCATTGAGTCTGTCTCTTCTTGCTAAAATTTCACTACCAGTTAGCTGTTTATATCCATCTGCCATCTATCTGTCACTCTTGTGTGGAGTATATATGCAATTAGACGTTTACATTTATCATGGGACAACAATCCAAAGCCTTAAACTTTGTAAGAATCCTGGTAGTGGTGATTAAGTATTTTGTTGGTGCTTCTTTCAGATTGAGGTTTCTGTGTATGGCTTGGTGAGTGGCTGTTGCCAGCAGGGAGCGAGAGATTTCAAGCATCCTTGTTTTGAGGAAGGTAGACCCTTCTGTGTACTTACGTTCCAGCATTGATCAAATCCAGTGGGATATATCCTTGGATATTTATGCATAGCTTTAAGGTTGAATGAATTGCTTTCTGTTGGTGGTATAAATTGAGTTGGGAAAACATTTCTTTAGTTATCTGATCTTAAATTAGAGCATGCAAATTTTGGTTTTGATTAGCAGTGTAATTTCATTTTGGACTCTTAGTTTTGTATACACCCTGCAGACGGAAATTTGAGGACATCAGATTGGGTATTCGCGCTTCAGATGAGGCATAGTCTGTGTCAGTGTTTCATATCTGTGAGCTTCTCACGTTTCTCTGGGGAACATTAGCTTGTGAAAGTCTTCCTAAACATTTCCTTTGCTTTTGGTTTATGCAATTGGCTGCCAAACCATTTTAAACATGATTAAAAATTTAAAACATTAAAAATAGATTTAGATCATAAACAGTATGGACTCAACAAAGGCAAGACAGACTTAGACTGTGTTTCTGATGGAATGTAATCCAGTTATAATTGTTAAGAAAGTCATAGAAGATCTGGGTATATGTTCCTCATACAGTGTGGTTAGAGTAATAAAAACAAAATTGGTGACATAGATACTTTTAGTCACCATTTGCCTTAGATAGCAGTGTCTTATGGTTTGAAGTCTTAGGTTGTTTGAGGTTGCCTGAGCTCCAAAGTACAAAGTAAAAATGCAGCAGTAGATTTGCTTTTTTAAGACATTAGTCTGTCTTTGGAATGTTCATTTCTGTGTGAAAGAATGATTTTGGAGAATGTTAATTTCAGGTATGTTTTCATATGTTGTAAAAATTACCTGAAGTTTTCATTCTTTCATTCTCTCTCCTGACTTGGTATGTGATTTCTTTTTAACTTCGAAGTTGTTTAGCTCCAGCCAGGCTTCTCCGCCTGTTATTAAGGCTTTGTGGCTCCAGAGTCTCTTCATTATAATCAACTACATTTTTAATCTAAGCCAATGCTGTTGCTTGCAGTAAATTTGTTACATTTGTGTCAAGATAAGATGATTGAAGACAAGAATCTACAAGACCTGCTCAATTGTCTATGTTAAAATTACAGATAAAGGTTGTTAATCTCAGGCTGTGCACAGTTTAATTTTGTATCCTCTTTGGAGGTTGCTTCATTTTCAAATGGAGGTCTGCTAACAGCTAATTTGCACCTAGGCGATAATAGTGTCACTTTTCTTCCCACAGTAACTTCCTCTGTGGTGGCTTATTGTACCAACAAAACTTTTTCTTTTCTAAAGTGTAAGGAAGCAGATAAACTTTTAAATGACTTGATTAATGTGTTATTCATTTATTTTAACCATCTGGTGACACTAAAAATGACCAAATCAGCTTTCCAAATTCTGTAGTATATTCAGAATTTATTTTGTTTGTAGAAGTGCAGGGAGGCTCAGAAAATTTATTTTATTAGGCGCTTCTACCTGAGTTACTTCCCCTTTTTTATTTTCAACTTTTGTTTTTCAGTTGGAGTGTTATTATGTAGCCCAGCCTGGCCTTGGGCTTGTTATCCTACTGCCTCAGCCTGAGTGGTGGACAGGATTAGAGGTGTGTGCCACCCCGCTGGAATCAACTATTTCTTTGTCTATAGCACAAACATACCAAACACAGAGCACACACACACACACACACACACACACACACACACACACCACAAACACACGGCAAAAGGCTGGGGAGATAGCTAAGTCAGTGAGGTGCTTCTTGCCATTTAAACATGAGGACCTGAGTTCAATTCCCAGAACACAGATTAAAGACAAACAAGAGCAACAACAAAACTTGACACGCTGGCCCATGCTATCTCAGTGCTGAGGAGATTGACACAGGTGGCTTTCTAGGGCCTATCTGAATTAGGGACTTGCCAGCCAGTGAGAGACCCATTCTCAGAAAGCAAGGTGGGGGTTGAATAGCACTTGAGGTTGGCCTCTGGCCTCCACAGGCACAGGCACACAAGTGCACCTACACTCACATATGCATTCACCTACACACATGCAAAATTTAAAAAACTGCCAAGAATATCATACAAATATGTATACAGCTATTTGTAAGATGTCAAGTCACTTTTATAGTGTTTGGATCCTCCAGCTGTCAAAATCTTAAAACTTTTTTACTTAAACAATCTTTTTCTTTTTTTCTTTTTTGTTTTGTTTCTGGAGACAGGGTTTCTCTGTGGTTTTGGAGGCTGTCCTGGAACTATTGCTTGTAGACCAGGCTGGTCTCTAACTCATAGAGATTCGCCTGCCTCTGCTTCCCAAGTGCTGGAATTAAAGGTATGCTTCACCACTGCCCAGTTACCTAAACAATCTTTTCACCCAATATATTTTGATTATATTGTTTCCCCTCTCCAGCTCCTCCAAGATCCTCCCCACTCAACTTCATGCTCATTCATGCCCATTTGCTCTTCCCTCATAAAAAAGATAAACAACAAAAACCCAGACTTAAAACAGACAAACAAGCACAAAAAAATCAATGAGACAAAAAAATAACAAAACAAAATGAAAAGAAGAATCAAGGGAGTCTGCATTGTGTTGGGGACTACTCTTGAAGTATGGCCATATACCATGGAAATTCTGAGACTGGAGAAAATGGGTTTTCTCTTTGCCGGGGGTCAGAGGACATAAGTTTCAATAGCTTCTTGGTTATGAGTGGGACTTTGTGTTTACTTCCCTTTCTCAGTGCTTGGATTTTGTCTGATTTGAACCTGTGTTGGTCTTGTGTGTTGTAACTGTCTCTGTGAGTTCATCATGCATGTGTCGGAACTGTTGTGTCTCACCCGAAGAGTGGATAGAGAAAATGTGGTACATCTACACAATGGAGTACTATTCAGCAGAAAAAAATAATGGAATCATGAGATTCGCAGGCAAATGGATGACACTAGAAGAAACCATCCTGAGTGAGGTAACCCAGTCACAAAAAGAGAAACATGGCATGTACTCTCTCATATATGGATTTTAGACATAGATCTGGGGAGTGCCAGCCTACAATCCTATGGCCAGAGAGTCTGGGAAACAGAAACTTCATTTAGTGGCTGATCGAAGAAGAGGCAGACTCCCTTAGTTAAGTACTGAGCTGAACTCAAGAAAGCCAGTAACAGAGAGGGAGGACTGATGATCGAAGGGATTAAGACTGGGCTGGTTTAACCCCCAGAAACAGCTGACCAGACAAAGGTTAACTCTTGAATCCCAGGCATCAGCCTGGGAATCCAGCATGGGACTGATCAAGACCCCCTGAATCTGGGTGTCAGTAAGGAGGCCTAGGGAATCTATTGAGCCTTGGGCAGCAGATCAGTACCCATCCCAAGTATACACACGGACTTTGGACTCCCATAGAACAATGTGAGGTGCACTCTCACCCTGAACTCTTGGGGAAGGGTCTAGGCCCTGCCCTATATGAAATGACAGACTATGGACACCCCCATGGAGGGCCTCACCCTCCCTGGGGGAATGAGGGGATAAGGGGGGGGTTGGGGGGAGGGCACGGGAGGAGGGGAGGGAATGGGAGAGGGACCTGGAACTGACTTGTGAAGTAACCTCGTTTCTTATCTAAATT